CTTTATTCCTCAACATAATCAGGCATAGAAAAGAATGTTGCATAAATTAAAACCCAGCGGGCGAAAACAAATAAAGCAGTGAGTAAACTCCAGACAAAATGTTACAAAATCGTGGATTCAGATTATATAGTTTTTAATTACCGTAAATGCTAGAAAAAGCGCCGCTCTCGAATAAGCGCCGCCGTGGCTCTTAATCAAGAGTATATTATTATTACCGTGTGTGTAATTAAACAATTTGGGTTTTAAATACAATGTAGGCATATACAGTGTTAAGATAATTAAATAATACAATGGAAACACAAGTATTTCTTTATTAGTAGCCTATTTATTTACTATGACATTGGACCTATATACATACTGTACTACGAAAAAATGTGAGATGTACATGGGAACGGGCATGAAAAGCCACACCAATATTTCTATTTATGAGCGCCGCTCTTGCTTAAGCACCGCACTGAAGCCTCCAAATATGTTAAAAGCGCCACAGCGCTTATTCAAGCATTTACATAATAAAGACATTTTTTATTCCTAAATAAAAAGAAGTGTTAAAAAATTGTATTTGTATATTTTATTAAGTTGACTTTTATTATATAGTTGAAAACTAGGCCTATTTACATGTCTTTCCTCATATTCACTGTCACTAATGTCAATATTTTTGATAATTAGAATTTATTTATTTTAAAAACAAATGAAAATGTTTCTTTCACCACCCTGAAGCAGACCTAGCTTCTCCTTATTCGGTTCAACTTAAAACAACACTAACAAATAGAATACATTAAGACATACCATACAAACAGAAAAAAAAAAAAAAAAAAAAAAAAAAAAAAAAGAAAAAAAAAAAGACAATGTACATTTTAGATACCTATAAGTTTTTGCTATAATGCTAAAATTAATCATGTATCTTTTCTGTGTCAATGCAATGACAGGTTACAGTACCGGATGACGAGGATACAACATACTGGTGTACGGCGTTTGAAGTACCTCAATTCGAACGACCTGTGCACGTAATCCGAGTAGGTATACTTGAATTAGTTAATAGGGAGTTTACGCAAGCTTATCAACACGATAACGAATACGGTTAGGCCTACGTCATAAACTTTTTGGACAACCCTTCACATACAGTAGCGTAGTAGCTGTCACTACGTAGGCGATTCAAGCCTGTTGCATGAATCAAGGATCATTGAGCTCGCACAGCATATTGTCAAGAATAGTTTAGGCACGAATGAATAATTGATAATGACGTATTCGTATTCGTTATCGTTGTCATAAGGTTGTGATTAAATCTCCCTATATTCCATCACACAAATTGTAATTACAGCAACAAAATACTTACTTTACCTTATAGCATTACCGTATTAAGCAAAATGAACTGAAATACCTTTATTTTAAAAATAGATTCTATGAATTATACAAATACAATATGGAATGTACATGGTGCAAGATGTATTAGTATTAAAACGACTTGTAAGTATAGCAAAAACAAGTTTGACAACAAAAGAATAGTGCAAGAAACATACAGATGACAACTGGGAGGCCTACCAAAACAAATGAATCCAACAAAACAGATCAGATTAGCTCAGTCGACTAATCTGGTGGTAGCCACAGTATGTGCGCTGAACCGTGGATATTTCTAGGTCCCCGGTTCAATTCCTATTGCTGTCTCTCCTTGTGTTTCAGCTGGAGGGCTGAAATAAAAGTTACAATAGCGCACCGTCTTCAGGATGAGACGTTGAAGCCATTGGACCCTTATGCATTTATGGTGTTGGATTACGTTTTAAGTACGTTTCTGAATATTTCAGTCATCGAAATTACATTAGGGCCTATTTGATTCATTTTTTTTTCAGTACGATGCTCTTGTTCAAGAGGGTCATGAAGCTGTCGTACATCACATGCTCGTGTATGGTTGCCGTGGTAATCTCTCGACCGTTCGTGGTTGGTCAGATATTTGTGAAAGGGAAAACATGCCTCCTGATCTATCCAACTGTTGGACAGTAATATACGCATGGGCAATAGGTGGTGGGGTAAGTGAGAAATAAATATGGAATAGAATAAGTTATTTAGTCAATGCAGCATGGCTTGGTTTACTCTCAAGAAAGTTGAATAGGTCGCACATTGTCGCAGTTTGTCAATACATAGATCCAATGTACAGCTAAGTTCATACATCACCTGCGTCTGTATCACTTCGCAAAAAGCGCAGCAATCTTTTACATCAGATGATATGTGAATTTTGTCTTCCGCCTGATTAATTACCGGTATCAAATCAATTTCGATTTTGTATATTGGGAGGATTCGTACACTTTTCTATAATTTGTTTTTTTTTTAAATTAATTGTTTTAGGCCAAACAGTGAATTTAATTACTATTCAAAGTACCATATACCTTCGCAAGACAAACATAAACACAGGACGCTCTACATAGATTAAGTCTCATTAAGAGGATTACCGAATGGAGTTGTTTAGGTCGTTAGAAAACTCCTGTTACCGTGACAAGAATAAAACTCAGGACCTTATTGGAAGGCTAGCATGTTAACACACACAAGTTATTCAACTCCGCTCCATTTTAAACAATTCTTCTAAAACGTTTACTATAATTTATTGTATCAGCGTATATTTTTTTTAATGATACCAAACCTGTTAATTTCAGTCGTTCGAGTTTCCAGACCACGCTGGTTTCCCACTTGGCGGAGAGAATGATCCAACATTCCTGTACATCGAAATGCATTACGACAATCCCGCATTTTCCTCTGGTAAAGAAAATGTACCGATTAGGCTTAACGTTAATAATTTGTTTGGTATTTTTGTTTCAGTTGGATAAATAAAAAAAAAATAATACAAAATACCAGCATCAACACTGTCATCAACCACAACAGCATCAACACATAAATACCAGTATCTTAACAATACCATGGATCAATTTCGGTATCCACTCGCCCGTCGACAAAGCATTATGGTAGTCGTTCTTTCTCTTGGGCTTCTGTTTTTCTTTGGAATGCTCTGCCTATTACAATCCGACAGGCAACTTCCATTGATGATTTCTAAGGCAGCTTTAAAAACTCACCTTTTTAACTTGTATTTTTCTTAATTTTTATTTATTTTTTCCCCGAATTCTATTTTTACTGTTAAGCGCATTGAGGCTTTAGCATAATGCGCTATATAAGCCAAAATTATTATTATTATTATTATTATTATTATTATTATTATTATTATTATTATTATTATTATTATTATTATTATTATTATAAGCGCATCGGTGGAGTAACAGCCGAATGGAATGTTAAGGAGTTAATAAGTAAAATGGGTAAAAAATATAAATGTATAAGTCAAAAAAGGTAAAATTCTATATAGTAAAAGCACATTAAAATATACAGTACATGAAAAAAGCTCATACTAATAATAATTTCATAATAATACTATTGTAATTTATGTTATTATTATCCACAATTATCATCAGCCCATCATTTAATCAATTTTTTTAGTTTCATTAGATTCATTATTATTATTATTATTATTAATAATAATAATAATATTATTATTATTATTATTATTATTATAAAAAAAATACTTATAATGGTCACATTATTAAGAAGACACAACAATAATTGTTACTTAACCAATATCCTGAGGCGCGTGGAACGGAGAGAGTAGAGAAAACAGTAGAACTTATACATACTGTTTGTGGTGCTGAACTAATAATAATAATTCAAATAATAAAACATTAAATAGTTAAACCGTTATTAAATTTTTAATTATTGTTTTTCTGTATTAAGTAGCTTTCAAAATGGCAGTATTCAAGTCATTTAACTTTCAAAAATGCTCACCGGCACGTACATTATTGGTCGGTTCCAGGCCCTTACGATTTATGTGCATAAGGGGGTCTTTCCAACTGACCAATCAGAACGCTTTATTTTATAGTTAAGATTACGCTCTTGTCTTACAAACACGCAAGGGCGAATGAACTCTCGGAGTCAACAGTCAACCATAACTTAGTTTAAGGAGTAGGAGACTTTAAGCCACACATTATTTTGATATTTTACCAGTGGCGTTTCCAATATTTTCTTGAGGGTATGCTGCAGTTTTGTCCCATCATACACGACCTGCTTACTGTTGGTATATAGGTACAGGAGTGAGGTATGCACTTTATGCAGTTACTGCTCCAATAATCATAAGTTTCTACAATAATGCTGTTTTATGGCCCACAACTTACCACCCCCTCCCCCACCTTACGATCAGACTAATATTATCCATGTAGAGGGGCTTAGCAGAAATACAACTTACGAAGTAGTTTGTGATGAAAATATTTTGAGAAGTAATTAGCAGCAAGGTGTTGAAGTAGCAATGCCTGTCTGTACTCAATATTTGAGATTCATTTCATGATATGCTTTGTGGCTATAGGGCTTGTCTGAAGACGTCTACGTGTTTGCAGTTATGCTCCATGGTCACATTGCAGGTAGTATTTATTTACTTATCATTATTACTATTATTATTCAATTATTACAATAGTTGTTTTTGTTGTTAGTAGTAGTAGTGGATAAGATATTTCTTATCTTGAAATGCTAAAATACAAATACCCGAAAACTGAAATAATTTAAATGTGGCAATTAATCGTTATTTTGATCATGGTAGTAGCAAATATTATATTTTTATAGCTCAGCAAATTACTCTCCAGCAGTATCGTGACGGCAAGCTGATCGACGAAATTAGAGATGATAACTATGATTTCAACCTACAAGAAACACGTGTAGTAGTACCAGAGAGAACATTCAAACCGGTAAGAACAAAAGAAGAAAAATATGCTCCCAGCAGGAAGATGTCTATTGCCTATTGGGCCTACTGTACATTACTGTATCTCGAAACGAACTATCACGTTCTAGAGGGCATAAAATTTGTTCGTATCGAACGGGTGCTGCGTCTCTATGGCGCATGTTCGAGTTTAAAATGCAAGTTTGTTGAGTTCTGAACTGCGTTCGTTTTCCAATAGGGCGCTCCTACTCTGTAGCACTGATCTCTGCTATAATAGCTTGATTGCTCATTGGCCAATCCTTCTACAGAAAAAAAGTGAGGCCTTCGACGCAATGTTGGAGGGCCTAAGTGACGTACCTGTTTAGATAAGTTTCTTTTTGGCATTTATTTAAATTATAGTTAAAACTATTGATTCTTGCAATACTTTTCAATAATAAATTGAAATTTAATGTAAGATTTTTTTTCAGACTATCCGACCACTGCGACTGTTTATGCAGTTTAGAAAAGCGCGAGCGATATCGCGTTGTTGACGTCGATCCTAACAACGCAAATAACTTTGCTTTCGCTTTTTTAAACTGCATGAAAAGCCACGTCAAGGTTAGAAAAATAATCATTTCGTTAAATTCAAGTTTATTATTAAAATGTTTTGCAAAAATCGTTATTTTTAACAATAATGTAAACAAATGTCAAAAGAAACTTGTCTAAACCATGTCTAAACCATACAGCTATTAAACAACTAGAGTGCCGACAAGATGGAGAAGCAATGCAAAGTTGTATACCATCCAAGATGGCTGCCGTAGGAAAGCGCCACCTTTAGGCTTAGTATATATATTATTACCATAAATAAGCCCTCTGGCAGATTATTATTTCATTAAGGATAATTAGTATTGATAATAAAAAATTATTAAACTATCGTAGCCAAAAGAGGCCAAGTAGAGCATCTTATTCAAAAATTAAAACAAACTTAATCGTGTACAATTATAGAGATATAATAAGAATACTAGAGCGCTAACTGCAATGTATTCGATGTCCGAAATACGCAGAGCTGTGTGTGTGTACCATCCAAGATGGCTGCCATAGATTCAGCCTATCGAATTTCGCATAAGCACTATCATTTTCAATGGCGCCCTCAATTTGCACAGAAAGTTCAGTACAGCTAGTTACCCGTATGTGTGAAACTCGAGCGTTGCGGTGTATGTAATATACTTACACGATTTTAATTTTTTTTTTTAATTTTTGAATAAGATCATCTACTTGGCCTCTTTTTGGCTACGATAGTTTAATAATTTGTTATTATCATTGATCAATAACAATTATCATTAATGAAAAAATAGTCAGTCAGAGGGCACATACACAACTCTGCATTGCTCATAGAGCTATTAAACAACTAGAGTGCTGACAAGATGGGGCAGCAATGCAGAGTTTTGTATGTGTACCATCCAAGATGACCGTCGTAGTAAAGCGCCACCTTCAGGCTTAGTATACATATTATTACATATTAATAAGCCCTCTGACTGACTATTATTTCATTAATGATAATGAGTAATGGTAATAACAAATTATTAAACTATTGTAGCCAAAACGAGGCCAAGTAGAGCATCTTATTCAAAAATAAAGTACCAAGGAACGAAATTAAAATCGTGTACGTTACACCCAAACACCGCAACGCTCGAGTTTCAAACATACGGGTAACTAGCTGTACTAAACTTTCTAAGTAAATTGAGGGCGCAATTGCAAACGATGGTGCTTAGCGAAATTTTATTTGCTAAATCTATGGCAGCCTTCTTGGATGGTACACACACACAGTTCTGCGTATTTCGAACATCGAATACATTGCGGTTAGCGCTCAAGCATTCTTATTATATCTCTATGGCATTGTTTCACCATCTTGTCAGCACTCTAGTTGTTTAATAGCTCTATGTGTACAATACACTCATTCACCTCAGCGCTCGAGTTTAAAACATACGGGCAATTAGCTGTACTAAACTTTCTGTGTAAATTGAGGGCGCCATAGTGCTCAGACGAAATTTTATTGGCTGAATGTATGGCAGACATCTTGGATGGTACACACACACAGCTCTGTGTATTTCGAACATCGAATACATTGCATTTAGCGCTCTAGTATCCTTGTTATATCTCTATGGTCTAAACTAACGTCTCTTAGGCCCTCCAACATGGCGTTTGGCGGCATCACTAAACCCAGCCATGAGCAATCCAGCTATTATAGTAGAGATCAGTGCGCCGTAGTATGATGTTCCACTTTATTGGAAAGCTGCTCTATCTTCTGCTATTTATTATCTTTGGTAGTAGTAGTAGTAGTAGTAGTAGTAGTAGTAATAGTAGTAGTAGTAGTAGTAGTAGTAGTAGTAGTAGTAGTAGTGGTAGTAGCAGTAGTAGTAGTGGTAGTAGTAGCAGTAGTAGTAGTAGTAGTACCCATCATGCACCTTCACCGGATTTACTAGCTCATTCAGGGGGTTCACTGCCAGACAATAACATAATGTTTATGCCCCCGAGGGGACAATAGACACAGCAACTTAATTTTGCTTTAAGTTAATTTTGTTATAGCAGTTCTCTAGATACATATCGGGCTTATACATTTCCGATGGTGTTCTAATGTTATTTGCGTTAAGCTGGTTTTCCACTAGGCGAATTTATTTGCGCGAACCAAAGTGTCGGTTCGCTTCATGAGCTCTGATTGGTTGCTCATTTTTTCGCTTCGCAAAAACTCCGATAGGAATGTGAACGCGCATGCACACGAACCGATGTTTTCGATTCCCGCGAATAAATTCGCTTTTAGAAGATTGAAATAGGAATGATGATTTTCCCCTATCTGACGTACTGATTGCTCAATACGTACTCCACCCAGAATAAATAAATCAATAAATAAAAATAAAAAAAATGTTGTATATGATTAAGGCAGGACATTATAATTCCAATATTATTGCTGATCTGTTACATCTTTTATATTTATTTTTATATATGCTTTATACAAAGATGTTTAGAGTTTAGATTTTTAGCGTTTAGAGACATGCCACTTGATAATGGCAACCCTCCTAAGTTAATGAACGTCTTGTTTGTATGTTTTTTCATATTTGCTTTTACCTGGATAATGAATAAATCTAAACAAGGGGAGGGGGGCATGCATTTTACAAAATTACAAATAAATGGGGGTTAAGACAATGCCATTTCCGACCATTTGGAAGTGCCATGAACAAAAACAATTTGTTTTTTGTTAATATCGATCACCTATGTGTAAAATTGGCTTTCTGACCCCCCCCCCCCCCCCCCCCCCCCCCCTTTTTTTTCCCACCCGTTTCTTTATTTCGAATTCCAGAACCTGCCACAGATTTTGCTATATAATCATCATCTATCAATGAATCGCATTGGTAGAGTATTAACCTAAATTTTACCAAATTTAAAATGGGACATAAAGAAAAGTTTAAATGCTAAATTTGTGTCTAACGGTGCCATTCCCGGCCAAGTAGAATTGTTGTTGACGTAATTTCGTTCCTCAGCCCCAATCATAGATGGGCTGAGATGGTTTCTACAGTATTTCGAATTCCAGTATCCACTGTTTAACCTTGTACTTTGTGGCGAATTGTCTTCTATCTATAATCTCAGTATCGACAATTAGTAATACTTAGACATGAAGGTCCCTAAAGACTTTTAACGTGTCCAGAGGGGGTCTGCGTATGTAAAAGTTTGGGAACCACTACACTAATCCACCGAGCTTGTGCTCGATCTTGTTTCGACAAAAATATTTGCGAAGTCTGCCAATACTTTGTTGATTCCTAAAATTGTCCTAATGTGATGCTCATTGTGTTAGAGAAAGTAAAAATGTAGAAGCAATATTTTTTAACTATATATAATCTAACCTAATATTCAGGGCGATGCCTATGTAGTGACGTGTACGTACAACACAGTTGGTAGAGAAAACATTACTGTGGTAAGTATTCTCTATTATTATTATTATTCTTATTATTATTATTATTATTATTATTATTATTATTATTATTATTATTATTATTATTATTATTATTATTATTATTACTATTACTATTACTATTACTATAATTATTATTATTATTATTATTATTATTATTATTATTATTATTATTATTTATTATTATTATTATTATTATTATTATTATTATATTATTATTATTATTATTATTATCACCATTATTATTGTAAGTATTTTCTATTATTGTTATTATTATTATTATTATTATTATTATTATTACTATCATTATTATTATCTTTATTATTACTATTATTGGCAAAGCATGTTTTTTCGTTTAAAATGTAAAATAGAATGTAACTACCTATACGTATTTACACGAATTAAGCAATTCAAACAATGAATAATATTTTTCAATTATATTATTTTATTTAGGGAGGTGAGGGCACGAGCGAAGAGATGTGTGTAGTATTCTTGTTTTACTATCCAAGCCAACCTGATCTCGCATACTGCCTTTCCGCATCGAGTTTTGAGAGTATCTTTGAAACTTTTGAAATTCCCTACAACACGGATGCGTAAGTTTTAGGATAATATGTCAATTTATATTTTGAACTGCGCATGTACGTATCCAAGGTCAATCAATATAAGCCTATGTTGTGTGTATTTTTGTTATGGTCATTGACCTTGATATAGGCATGCGCAGTTTAAAAGAGAACTAGCAAAATGATTTTTTGTTTTAGAGGAGATTTTTGATATGCCATTAATAATAGAATCAACATTAAAATCGTTATTTGGCAATTGTTTAGTTACAGGCCATTATATGCGATTTTACCGTGACGTCACTGGCGAAAAAAAGTAACAAAAGATTGTGTATATAGCGCCGCGTAGGGTATCCATCGCGTACGATCTTTGCGTGCATGCTGTAACTATGGTTGTTGTAACTTGCATATCAAGTCATAGGCCACTGGCTATGTTCTCACACGGCAACTAACGGTTAGCAGGATCTGCATCCTGCTAACCGTTAGCTGCCGTGCGTCCATGCGAGAAATTCCCGATCCGGATACCAACAATATGATGATCGAATCACTGGCAAATAAGAAACTGGAAATTGTAAACGCGTACGTGTGATTGGTTGATGATAGAAACGCCCTCAACTTGCTAACCGATAGCGCTTGCTAACCGTTAAGGCCAACTCAGACAGCGTCGGCCGACGCAGCCCGACGCGATTTGTTGTCGCGTCGGGTCTGTGTGAGTTGAACGCAGACGCGATTGTGTGCGTCGGGGGCAGTCGCGTAGTAGAATATAAACGTGTTTAATATTTCTCACGACGGCTAAAGACGGTCCCCGACGATAAATCGGGTCGGGCTGCGTCGGCCGACGCTGTCTGAGTTGGCCTTTAGCGTATCCGGATACCGCTAACGGTTAGCGCTAACCGATCGGGCGTTCTCACGCAGGTGCTAACGGTTAGCGCTAACGGTTAGCTCCCGATCCGGATACTAGGGCTCTCGTGAGAACCAAGCTTATAACTGCATAAGCCGTTGTCAACAAATGATTTACAACCATGGTTACAGCATGCACGCAAAGATCGTACGCGGCGGATACCCTACGCGGTTTTATTTGCACGATCTTTTGTTACATTTTTCGCCAGTGACGTCACGATTAAATAGTATATAATGGCCTATAACTTCATAAGAAATTGCCAAAAAACGATTTAAGGTTTACTCTATTATTAATGGCATATTAAAATTCCCCTCTAGAACAAAAAATCATTTTGCTAGTTCTTTTTTAAACCACGAATTGGCATATTGCAATATATAATACAATAAAACGATATAGTACTCCACAGCAAAAAGATTTATCACCGAAATGCATGGTGGGTAAATGTGTATAAAATGCCGTGCATTGAGCCAAATTAAACGAGGTGCCGCGTACGACTGGAACTAAACACATTGCAGTAAACCTGTCATCTAATTTTTATTGGAAATGAGAAGGGGAACGTGTACATCAGGGGCTGCATAAAATCTATGATGTATTTTCGCTTCACTTTTGCTGGGTGTGGGGGGGGGGTTCTTGTGTATTTCTAGTGTATTTGGTTGAGATGTAAGATTGGTATGCAATAGCTAATGTAATAATAATAATAATAATAATAATAATAATAATAATAATAATAATAATATGTAAATATATCAACCCATGACGACTGATTGTTTTATATATAAATATGGGCTCTCTCATTGGGAATCTAAACTCAAAACTATTCCTGATTTGTTTAGTATTAACTAGTCAGTGTTTGTCTGTATGTTTGTCTGTTAGCAAAATTGCAAAAAACTAGGGAGGATCACCATAACATGTAATGGAATGTTGCATAATAATCTAAGAGGAAGATAATTTAATTTTGGGGGAAAAAGTCAAAGGACAAGGTCAAGATCACAGAAATAGATGTTGTTTATCCTTGAGCCTAGAAAAAAAAATAACGGAATCACCCATACACGACCTGCTTGTTGTTCGGTATTTAGGGTATATGTGCTCTATGCAGTGACTACTCTAGTTTGTTTTTCTGTTTTATAATGGAAAAATTATACAATCTCATAATTGTTTTTGTCTATTTTCTTTTATTTTCTTTTATTTATTTATTTATTTATTTTTTTGCTGTTAACCTGTTCCATCTGTTGTATTTAGGTCTTTTGAAACTGTATGCGTTCTCTGATCATTCATTATTAAAATAGTGTTATTATAATAAATGTGTACGTTTTGTTTTCAATAGGGAGGAGGAAATTTTTGGGTATACTTACCGATACCTAACGACACAGGTGAATTCAGAAAACTTGAGGAATGGTCTTAGGGTAATCTCGAACACAGGAAAACGTTACAACTACTGCTACAACGATCGTAACCAATATATTGTACGTTTTTATAGAACAATTAATGAAACTACTACTACCACTACCGCCTACAGCCGCCACCACCACTACCACCGCTAATGCTGCTGATGCCGCTGCCACCGTTGCTGCTGCTCCTGTCGCTCCACTGCTGCTGCTGCTGATGATAATAATAATAATAATAATAATAATAATAATAATTATTATTATTATTATTATTATTATTATTATTATTATTATAGGTTTAATACTAATACTAATTATAATGTTGATAATAATATAATAATAATAATAATAATAATAGTAATAATAATAATACCCAAAATTTCTAATTTTAAGTTTTATTTCCAAATAAGACAAATAATACTACACTACCTAGGTAATCTGCCCAAGTATGAAAATAGAATGCAAACATAACATCAAAAAAGTGACCCACGCATATAAAATACAAGGAACCATCAATTACTATACTTCATAACCTCTTATTAAGAAAACTAGGGTTAACATTGAATTTTTATTCAAAAACAATAAGCTCCCTATTTTTTATGGATTATGACGAAATATGAAATCTTTTTTTTTTTTTGGCCTACTTTGAATTGACTAATTGAAAACGGTAGAGAATGTATGAAGTTAGTACAAGCACATACTTTCTGAAATTACCAGGGCTTAGTACTTATTAGCTCTAGTCATCATTCATGGGATGTGTCCAAATTTTGGTGTACAATGACATCATCGTGTCTATATAAGGGCACATCATTCAAACTTGTCACATAACATAACATAAGTTGGCCTTCAGTTTTTTTAATATGGTGTTTTATATAGTATTTTTTAAATATTTTCTCTTTGTATTTGTTTGTATTTTATATACTATGAAAAATACACTCAAAATATTTTCTGCAAAGAACAAAAGTTGAAATGAAATGAATGAATGCTC